TATCCAAAGTCATCTATAGCTTTGAAGGGCATTCAGCCAAGTTGCATCTTCTGGGCATGTAGCTGTATGCATGATGTGAGCTACTACAGTCAGGCATAATAGATGTTGCTCACTTTGGATGGGCTAACTATGGGATGTCATTTCTGTCTCTAATATTTACAAAAAGTGACAGAGTGAGTGGTCTCAGAGATGCTCAGGGTGGTGCTGTTTCTGGGACTCTAGCTCGATTGGTTTCACAAATCTTTTTTGAACCTAAAGCGGTGGTAAGCCAGGGCTCAGTGAAGCATTTGAGAATGTTTTTTTTAGTATATTCCAGGAAAATTTTAATGTTTGGATTATTTCAGCAAAGTCAATTCTTTACATTAGTAATGGCCGTGAGGTCCCATTATGAGCATTCAGCGGGAGGAAAAACAGTTCTCCATAACACAACTCTCCTCTCGCTTCCTAGTCCCTGATATTCTGTACATCTTGTTGAAGCAGGCTACACTTGTTATAGATTATGTTCTCCAAGTCCCTGATATTCTGTACATCTTGTTGAAGCAGGCTACACTTGTTATAGATTATGTTCCTCCTAGTCCCTGATATTCTGTACATCTTGTTGAAGCAGGCTACACTTGTTATAGATTATGTTCCTCCAAGTCCCTGATATTCTGTACATCTTGTTGAAGCAGGCTACACTTGTTATAGATTATGTTCCTCCTAGTCCCTGATATTCTGTACATCTTGTTGAAGCAGGCTACACTTGTTATAGATTATGTTCCTCCTTACCTTATTACACTAAATCAATGCCATCTTGGGACAGTGCCCATGCATACCTTTCTTAGGAGTCTGTTGGTCATCCTTACTATATCACTGCTGAAAGTAGTTGGTATACCTGTACCAGAGGGTACATCTGTAGGAAATACTCATTCAAAGCCTAGCCCCCTTCCATCAAAGTCAAACACCAACTTTTTTAGCCTCTGATAAGCTCCCACTAACATCATTGATCTTTTTGTGGGTAAGGAGGTAATTCTTATCAATATCAAGAGGTGTAAGGAGCATTCTTCACGCTGCCCATCACACTAATGTACCGGGAATTTTAGATATAGTGAGTTTTAGCAGGGGTTCCCTGAGACCTGGAAAGTTATTTCAAGGGCTCCTCTGTGTTGAAAAAGTTGAGAAAGGTTGGTTTAACATATGTGACTTACCAGTACTTCATCTGACATCCTTATAATACATTTGGCGTGTCTTGCACAGGATAAAAGGAAACAATATCCTATTGTTTATTTTACCCACCAGAACTTCTAAACATGGCTATAGGTCTTTACAAGCTTAAGTCAAATATTTTCCAAGCCCATTTTATATCATACAGTTAACATGTCATGCATAGATAGTGTTCGTTTATTTTTCACAAATATATGAAATCTCAGTTACTGACTATACTTGATAACTTTTTATATATATATATATATATATATATATATATATATATATATGTTCTAAGTAGAAATGGTCACAACTGAGAAATCTAAAAAGGAAATGAGTTCTAGAAGCTGTTCCAAAAAAGAAAAAAACTAAAGATAGAGGGCAAAGGACTAGGCATCAGTATTGCATGTGGTCTCCCTTCAGTTGATCTTTACCCATTATTGACTTACCGTGCCTTGTTCTGAACTGTGTCTCTGTGTGGAGGTGTCTATGATTAAGACCCAAAATGGGTGAAACGCATTAGTGGAGTGGTGTAGAACAGGAGCTGTGTGCAGATGGTCACCATTCTGTTGAAGTCTGTGTGCTGGTGGTCACCTTGGTACAGGCCGGGTTTTGTTTCCACATGTCAGAGGCTCCAGCAGGGAGAATAGTGAGTGGAACAGTAGTGACCTCACCACAACTTACTCCATACCTTCTGAGTCTAGCAGCCAGAGTTTTGGATACTGTGGCGAAGGATTAGAACACCTGTCAGGTTTTTATTTTTGTCTGTGCCCCTGCCAGGGAGAGATCCACCCTTTCTAGTTGTCTTGTTTACCATTATCACTCAGAGTGAAAGTGAAAGAAAATCTTACATTTTGGGTTGTCACCAGAACCAGAATAGAGGGGAGATCTGTCAAGGGGCACACTAGTTCAGGTGTTGCTGGCTGGTAACTACAAGAGAGTCCCTCGAGTTGGAGGGATTTCCTCTTGCCTGTTTTAGTACTGGGACAGGAAGTAACGGGAAATCTCCCCAGTGGAACACAGATGGCAAAAAACTGTCAGGGGTTATAACCCTCTCTTACTCTATTCAAAATGAAAAAAAAAGTTTTGCCTTTAGCTCTCCTTTTAATGGTAAAAATAATACTTCTCTCTGATGCCGTTGAAGAGTTTTTCTCATTTCCCATCTAGTAAAACTGCCACCTGAACAGGAAGTGAGGGGAAATTTCTCTAACCAAGCACCAGGTAGCAGTAAAACCTGGAAGGGGTTTCTCATCTTTCCCTACTCTATCCAAACCTAGAAAGAGCCTATAGATACTCTGTAATTGTTTTACATGTACTCCCTACTCTATCCAACACAAAAAAAAAGTATTATAACCTGTAAGGGATAGGTTCACTTTTGGAACATATTACATGGTCCACCTGTATTTAGGGTGGAACATGCAACATGTTCCAGCTCCTGCCCCCTCTCCTCTTGATCCTCCCCCCTCTCCTCTTGATCCTCCCCCCCCCCCCCCCCCCCGTGACAGCAGTCGAGGGGTTTTCTGCCCGCACCCACTGTCACTTTTTGAAAACAAATCACATTAGTTCCTCACAGATTCCTATGAATGAATAAGCCACAAGTACCATCTGCCACCACGATAGACAGATTTGTAGTTTCAATGGGCTACAGGGGTGCTCTTTACAAAGTGCTAATTTTTACAAAATTAATTTTTACAAATTTTTTTGCTACAAAGCCATTTTAGCTTAGCAGAGGGAAGGTAGATCCCCACTGACTCTGACCTTTGCTACGTATTCTTTTTATAGTGTGTCTTTTGTTTTTGTTGTTCTATGGTGTTTTATAGTAAAGTCTAAGTTCACTTTTTGGAACATGTTACATTAGGGTGTATTATGCAACATGTTCCATCTCCTGCCGCCAGTTCCGTCAGTCCCACACAGCTGTGTCAATTATTCACAGTTTACTGTGAATTAATTAACTACAAATACTGTCAGCCCTTGCAGCTGATAGCTTGTAGTTCTGAGTGAACTGCGAAGGCCATGGTAAGCTCTTTTGTAGTTCATTCACAAGCCCTGCAACTTTCAACAGACAGCCCATATGTCTGCTCATGGGTGCAATGCTTTCCAGGCTTCTGCAGGAAAAATAATAATAAATGTACCATAGCTCCCAGCTGTCCCTGATATTGAGGTACTGTCCCTCGTTTGGAACAAAGTCCCTCTGTCCCTCTTTCCTTCTCATTTGTCTCTCATTTTGATCTGATGTATATACCTGTATGGAAATTCTTATTTATCCATCAAAAAGTGTTTTACAGTTGTAAACCTTACATCCAATTTCTAAATTGTTAAATTTGTGCATTTTAAAGCCAATAGAAAGGAATAGTAGTTGTAAAAAAGCACTTGTGGGTTCAACCAATCATTTTTGTGTAATTATTCTCCTTGTAAGGGGGCATGTCCTATGAATACATACATACTTTTGCTTATAGGTGTCCCTCTTTCCCATCTCAGAAAGCTGGGAGGTATGAATGCACATATTTTTTTCTGTAAAAATATGTTAATTTATTATTTTTTTCAGCAAAGGTGATCGTATCCTTTAAATCAGGGGTCTCCAAACTTTCTAAACCGCAAGTCCAATCTTTAACAAACTCGTGCAGACTCCACCTCCGCAACATCGCCAAAATCCGCACGTTCCTAACCCCAGAAACCACTAAAGAGATCATCCACTCTCTCATCATATCACGACTCGACTACTGCAACTCCCTCCTCACTGGCCTGCCTCGCCGCTGGCTATCCCCGCTTCAGTCGATCCTGAATACGGCTGCCAGACTCATTCACCTTTCCAACCGCTCTGTCTCCGCCACCCCCCTCTGCCAATCCCTCCACTGGCTTCCGAATGCGCAACGGATCAAATTCAAAATCCTAACGCTGACGTACAAAGCTGTCCACCATACTGCCCGAACTACATCACTGACCTAATATCCAAGTACCGCCCAGCACGCACACTCCACTCCTCACAAGACCTCCTTCTCTCTAGTTGCCTGGTCTCCTCCTCCCATGCCTGCCTCCAGGTTTTCTCCAGGGTGTCACCCATCCTCTGGAACTCCCTGCCCCAACCCATCAGATTATCACCTACTCTCCTCTCCTTTAGGCGCACCCTGAAAACCCATCTCTTCAGGGAAGCCTACCCCACCCCCTGCTAACTTGCCGACCTCCTCCACTCTTCCTACCACTCCATCCCCCACAGCTATCTCCTCCTGTGCCACCATCCCCTCCCTCCTAGATTGTAAGCTCGAAAGAGCAGGGCCCTCGAACCCCTCGTGTATCACATTGTATTGGTATTGTTCTGTCACATGTTCTGTCCCCCTTTGTAATGTACAGCGCTGAGCGAACTATTGGCGCTTTATAAATACTGTATAATAATAATAATAATAATAAACAAAGGGCCAGTTTACTGTCTTCAATTTTTAAGAGGGCCAGACTCTGGCCAGTGGGAGTAAAAATATCTTGGTGTCAGTGGGAGTAGAGTGTCCACTCTTTGGTATTAAGTGGAGTCATAGTGCCTCATATTTAGTGTCTGTGGGAGGAATAGTGCCCCATCATTGGTGTCAGTGGGAGGAATAGCGCCCCATCATTGGTATCAGTGGGAGGAATAGTGCCCCAACATTGGTGTCATTGGTAGGAATAGTGTCCCATCTTTGGTCTCAGTAGGAAAAATAGTGCCCCATTATTGGTATAACTGGGAGGAATAGTGCCCCATCATTGGTATCAGTGGGAGGAATAGTGCCCCATCATTGGTGTCAGTGGGAGGAATAGTGCCCCATCATTGGTGTCAGTGGGAGGAATAGCGCCCCATCATTGGTATCAGTGGGAGGAATAGTGCCCCAACATTGGTGTCATTGGTAGGAATAGTGTCCCATCTTTGGTCTCAGTAGGAAAAATAGTGCCCCATTATTGGTATAACTGGGAGGAATAGTGCCCCATCATTGGTATCAGTGGGAGGAATATTGCCCCAACATTGGTGTCAGTGGTAGGAATAGTGTCCTATCATTGGTATCAGTAGGAGGAAATAGTGCCCCATCATTGGTATCAAGTGAGGAACAGAAGCATTTGAACACCATGCGATTTTGCACGTTCTCCCACTTAGAAATCATGGAGGGGTCTGAAATTCGCATTGTAGGTGCATTCCCACTTAGAGACCGAATTAAAAAAAAAAATTCAGGAAATCACATTGTATGATTTTTAAAGAATTTATTTGTCTAGCACTGCTGAACATAAGTATTTGAACACCTAAGAAACAGCAAGAATTCTGGCTCTCAAAGACCTGTTACTGTGCCTTTAAAAAGTCCACCTCTACTCCACTCATTAATCTAACTTAGTAGCACCTGTCTAAGCTCTTTAAAGACACCTGTCCACCCCACAGTCAGTCAGACACCAACTACTACCATGGGCAAGACCAAAGAGCTGTCAAAAGACACCAGAGACAAAATTGTGGACCTCCACAAGGCTGGAAAGGGCTACGGGGCAATTGCCAAGCAGCTTGGTGAAAATAGATCAACTGTTGGAGCAATTGTTAGAAAATGGAAGAGGCTAAAGATGACTGTCAGTCTCCCTCGGACTGGGGCTCCATGCAAGATCTCACCTCGTGGGGTATCACTGATGATAAGAAAGGTGAGGAATCAGCCCATAACTGCAAGAGAGGAGCTGGTCAATGACATGAAGAGAGCTGGGACCACAGTTTCAAAGGTCACTGTCGGTAGAACACTACGCCGTCATGGTTTCAAATCATGCATTGCACGGAAGGTTCCCCTGCTCAAGTCATCACATGTCCATGCCCGTCTGAAGTTTGCCAATGGCCATCTGGATGATCCAGAGGAGGCATGGGAGAAAGTCATGTGGTCAGATGAGACCAAAGTAGAACTTTTTTGTGTAAACTTCACTCGTCGTGTTTGGAGGAAAAAGAAGGATGAGTTGCATCCCAAGAACACCATCCCTACTGTGAAGCATGGGGGTGGTAATATCATGCTTTGGGGGTGCTTTTTTGCGAAGGGGACAGGGCGACTGCACTGTATTAAGGAGAGGATGAATGGGGCCATTTATTTTGAGATTTTAAGCAACAACCTCCTTCCCCCAGTCAGAGCATTGAAGATGGGTCGTGGCTGGGTCTTCCAACATGACAACGACCCAAAGCACACAGCCAGGATAACCAAGGAGTGGCTCCGTAAGAAGCATATCAAGGTTCTGGAGTGGCCTAGCCAGTCTCCAGACCTAAATCCAATAGAACATCTTTGGAGGGAGCTGAAACTCCGTGTTGCTCAGCGACAGCCCCCAAACCTGACAGATCTAGAGGAGATCTGTGTGGAGGAGTGGGCCAAAATCCCTGTTGCAGTGTGTGCAAACCTGGTCAAGAACTACAGGAAACGTTTGACCTCTGTAATTGCAAACAAAGGCTTCTGTACCAAATATTAACACTGATTTTCTCAGGTGTTCAAATACTTATGTTCAGCAGTGCAAGACAAACAAATTCTTTAAATATCCTACAATGTGATTTCCTGAAATTTTTTTTTAATTCTGTCTCTGAGTGGGAATGCACCTACAATGTGAATTTCACACCCCTCCATGATTTCTAAGTGGGAGAACTTGCAAAATCGCAGGGTGTTCAAATACTTCTGTTCCTCACTGTAAGTGGGAGGAATAGTGCCCCATCATTGGTATCAGTGGGAGGAATAGTACCCCATCATTGGTATCAGTGGGAGGAATAGTGCCCCATCATTGGCATCAGTGGGAGGAATAGTGCCCCATCGTTGGTGTCAGTGGGAGGCTTGGTTCCAGTGTCAGGAACTATGCCCCATTGTTGCTGTCAGTGGGGGTAATAATAGCCCAAGGGTCAAATAAAAGCAAGCAAAGGGCCGCAGTTTGGAGACCACTGCTTTAAACAGTCCAATGCCCCATCTTACTATGCTCTGTTTCACATTGAGAGGAGTAATTTGAAAACTACATACATAGTCTTGTGTCAGTTTGTGAAACATTACATAATTTTGGGTGAAAAATGATATAATATTTGTTTATACTGTAAATTTATCTTGTAATACAAATACTATATATTACGAAAATGCAGACTAAATGAAGATTTTACTGACAGTAGACTTTGTTTTGCACATACTTTTCATGAAGAAAGGGAATGTAAAGCTCACATTTCTGGTTTCATTCAGACCATCTGGAGATAAGTTTTTAATTTAAAAACCTAGTGGACCCATGCTGGCAGAATATTTTGAATGCCTCTTTAGCAGCTTTATGTGATCTCCTTTGCACTCAATAGATGAACATCGGCAGAGGCTGAGTTATATGTATTAATAATGTTTTACAGAAACTACAATTTCTAAAATTACACAGGAAAACAATTCCTGTTTCTGTGAACTCTAGAGTGTAATTTATTGCTTGAAAGCACTTATTTGGATTTGAAAGCTTGGAATTCTGACACTAGGACAGGCTGTCAGTTCCCTGCTGGGTTCACAGCAAACCAATCCAGTGGCTCAGCATGACATTGATGTTGGCATAGTTTGGGCAAGAATAGGCTTATCTTTAGAGTTTGGTGCAGGTTGATCAAATGTAATGTGACCTCTAATAAGACCTCTGAACATCTGAAATATAGTGTTACTATGTTTAAAGTGTATTTCCATTTTTCATGTCAAATTTGGAAAAACCCCACTATATGTTTGTGTTCCTATGTACACAGCATACTTAAAAAATACTTCTTACCTTTTTAGTTGTTGAAAGAAGGTGACATGACTGTAAGCATTCTGTGAGGGCAGGATGAGCTCCTGCTCATTAACCCTTTTACTGCAAGGAACATATGTCTTTGGGGTTTTTTTTTTTTACAAGCCAACTTCAGATGGAGGTGATCCAGTGGCTGTACAGGTACCATGTGTCTGTTGAGGCAATCTGGCAGATTTGCCCCCCTGTACCTGGCAGCACCCGCTATGTCAGTCCTGGGACCCACATGGCAGGTTTCGCCGAGTAGAGAGGAGGAAAACCAGTGAACATCCATTTGCTGAACTCCCCTAGTTAGTAACACCGCAGAAGTGATGAGAATTTCTTCACTTCTAGTTTCTGCGGTCCCTTTCCCTGGCTTCTGTTGCCAGGAAAAATCTAATGAAGCCCGATCTGTGATCCATTAGCTTTAGTGGTGTGCAGGGGAGACATCGGGGGTTTTATTGATCCCTGATGTCTCAGTGAAGAGCACTAGTCAAAGTAAAAAAAATGCTATCATATATGGGGGCTATTGGTCCCCTATATGATAGCAATAAAATAAAATGAAAAAGAAGGGGAAAAAAAATATATAAAAACATTAAAGGTACACCTAAGCACTTAGCTCCCCCACCCCGACATTTTTGAGTCTCCATATATACACACACGTATGTTTTGTAAATGCACATATCATGGGCACTTTTGTATGAAAACATTGATTGTACTACACGTTGCATATCTCCATGGACACTGGAGAGAGAACAATCATTCTAGGGTCATTATTCACAGTTAACCCTAAATTGGTGATCTGCAAGGACTTTTAAAGCATCGTCTATGAAAATGTTTGGGTACCGACGTTTAAGACCACTTCACAGGCACAATTTTAAGGTTTGGTATGAAGGGTATGTATTTATTTTGCCCAACCTATTCCTTTATATTTTATAAAAATGGATAATATATTGCATTTGTGTGCACTACAATGAACACTGGTGTCTTTTTTACTGAACATTTGTGCTTGATAAACCGTGGCGCTAAAGTCGTGCGACATAAAACGTTCTGTACCTGGCTAATATCTGTGGCAGCTGGAAGTCACTGTAGTAGGCATCCTACTAGGCCTAGGGTGATTGCCTATGACTTTCAGGTTCCTTCCTGCTGTGCTGCATAGTGAACACAGGTCTCTCTCTAGGCTTAGACACCATTCAGAGAACACTTTGCATTTTCTCAATGATTGAAGAAGGTGGAGATCATGATTTCATCACCCCACCTCTCCACCTCCACTTGTCTAATGAGAAAAAAATTGGGGTAGATTTACGAAAGGCAAATAGACTGTGTACTTTGCAAGTGCAAAGTACCCAATCGCATGCAAGGAAAAATAAAAAATGATTGGATGATGGAATATGTTTGGATGATGGCAGTCAGCAGAGCTTTTCCTCATTTACTATGCTCTAGAGCACCTGCACAGTACACAATGTGTTTCCCTTTTAATAAATCAACCCCATTGACTTTGTCACTCATGTCTCTTTATTGGTCCTTTAGGATGAAGGGGTGTTATTAATTACCTATGGGGAAGTCCTGAAACTGGTAGTCATTGGAACCAGGCTTTTAACACATGCAAAAAAGGTATTTGTGCAGAGATTTTGTATTCTGGCTCCAAAATTACCTATAACCAATAATAAATACTCCAATTATCAGCCCTAAATTAAAGCGGAGCTCCACCCAAAAGGGGAAGTTCTGCTTTTAAGCCTTTGTCCCCTGCTTCCCATTAAGGATTGGCATCTTTGGGGAGCGGGTACCCAAATTTGATAGGTACCCGTTCATACTTCCACTGCGATTGCCTAAGGCAATCGGAAGTGGAAGTTGTCTTCCCCCCTCCCTCCCCGTAATTTTCTGGGACACATGACAGGTCCCAGAAGACTACTGGGGCATTAACAAAGTGCAGTGCTTCTCGCACATGTGCAGTGGGCACCCGTCTGTGAAACCGCAAGCTGTCACAGCCGGGTGCCCACACTGAAGATGCCCGCGCCAGGGAAAGAAGATGGTGAAACCAGTGGTGGCGAGGACACCGCTGGACCGAGGAACAGGTGAGTGACTGTATTTTAAAAGTCAGAAGCTACAGTTTTTGCAGCTGCTGACTTTTTTTATTTTTTTTTTTTCAGCTGGAACTCCACTTTAATGTTCTGATGCATTATAACTGACAGTTCCAGGCAACTACACGTTGCTTTTTGCCCTGTTACATAAAAGTCAGCAGCATGTTTATTCAATAAGAGAGCAAGGAGCAATAATAATGAGCAAATGCATCAGTAGCAGTACCTGTATTAGTGCAACCAATCAGAATTCAGTTTTCTGCAGCAAGTTAAATTGAGATCCAATGTGTTACTTTGTATGGGTTACTGCACCTTACATGTCAGATTTACTCTTTGCACTTCCTGACCCTAGGTTCACATCTAAGCGTTTTCTGCAGCATTTTCCATAAACATAGTACAGTCCATTCAACATGATTTCCTATGGGACATGTTCACATTGGCACGTTTTCACCCTGGTGCTTTTTTGGAGAGGGTCAGGGACTTTTTTGAAGGCAAAAAGTTGCGTTTTTGGTTCTATAGACTTCAAAACGCTGGAAACGCTGCAGAAAAGCATGCATTGTGTTTTTGCTGCATTTTTCGCTGTGTTTTTGATGCGTTTTGCATTTTAATTCTGCCTAGCAACAAGAAAAAAAATGCAGGTGCAAAACGCAATGCAGAAACAGCTCAAACGCAACCTGCATAGGTGTGAACCTAGCCTTACTTATTAAACCTGTAAATGCTGCAGTACTCCGGTTGGTTGTGATTCATAGTGAAATTTCCTTTTGGTAAGCTAGTTGTACACAGGGCTGTTAGCTACAAGCTATTGTTAGCTCTTTTTTTCCATATTTATTGTTTTTACATCAGGTGATGCATGGTCTGACATCTGCATCAAATGTGCTGTGATGTGTACTACATTTGCATGATTAATCTATCTACAAACAGCTGACTACACTTTTTATATGCACTGCAACTAATAGGAAGTCTCCAATGATTAGAGATGACACCGCTCTCTGTATGATGTTTTTGAAATATATTTTAAACCTCATTTTAAAAATATAAATGCTTTGTTCTCAAGCTGTAAAAAGAATGCTGGACCTGAGTCTAAGCATCAGTCACATTAAGCTCAGTTCACAGCAGTGTCTAACCTTTTTGACTCTCCTGGACCACATTGGAAGAAGAGGACTTTGAAAGTACAGAGAAGGGCAACCAAACTGATAAGAGGCATGGAGGAGCTCAGCTATGAGGAAAGATTAGAGGAACTGAATTTATTCTCTCTTGAGAAGAGGAGATTAAGGGGGGGGTATGATCAACATGTATAAATACATCAGTGGTTCATATAGTGGTGGTGGTTCATATGGTGAACACCCTGAGGTCATCACAGAGGACAAGGGGGCACTCTTTACGTCTGGAGGAAAAGAAATGTAATCTCCAAACACGCAAAGGTTTCTTCACAGTGAGAGCTGTGGAAATGCGTAATAGACTCCCTCAAGAGTTGGTTCTGGCCAGCTCAGTGGATTGCATCAAAAAAGGCCTGGCTTCTTTCTTGGATACACAGAATATAACTGGATACTAATATTTATAGGTAAAGTTGATCCAGGGAATATCCGATTGCCCTCGGGGGATCAGGAAGGAATTGTTTCCCCTGCAGGAGCAGATTGGATCACGCTTTGCTGGGTTTTTTGCCTTCCTCTGGATCAACTATGGGTATAGGATTATAACTTTTTTTTTTTATGGTTGAACTGGATGGACTTTTGTCTTTTTTTCAGCCAGAATAACTATGTAACTATGGATTGTCTTGGGCAACACCTAAAATGCACTAACAATAAGGATAGCTAAAGAGCAACAAATCTCAGGCAGATCACAATTTAATTACTAATATAGATAATGTTCCTATCTGAGTAAAACAAGTTTACTTTTTTTTTTAAATTGTT